CGTCGGCGTTCCGGGTCTGGGGATCTCGGGCGTTTGTCCGCGACTTGTCTGCGGACAAGCTGTCCCCTCGCGCTTCTCCCTGCGTCTTCCTGGGCTTCCCCCCCGACGCCCCTGGGTGGCAGTTCTACCACCCCACCTCTCGACGTGTTCTGTCCTCCCAGGACGTCACGTTCGATGAGTCGGTACCCTACTACCGCCTCTTCCCCTACCGCACTCATTCCCTTCCCCCGCCCCCGCTCTTCTTGGTACCAGGTCCCCCCCCGGTAGACCCCCTCCCCCCTCAGGGTCCTGCCCCTTCAGGTGTGTCCCAGGTAGACGCGGTCGAGCCTGTCGAGGTCACTGGTGACTCTGGTGCTATTGCGGGAGCTGAGCCTGGGGGTGCTGAGCCTGGGGGTGCGGAGTCTGGGGGTGCTGAGCCTGGGGGTGCTGAGCCTGGGGGTACTGAGCCTGGGGGTGCTGAGCCTGGGGGTGCTGAGCCTGGGGGTGCTGAGACTGGGGGTGCTGAGCCTGGGGGTACTGAGCCTGGGGGTGCTGAGCCTGGGGGTGCTGAGCCTTGGGGTGTTGAGACTTGGGGTGCTCCGCCTGGCGGTGTTTTGCCTGAGGGTGCTGAGCCTGGAGGTTCTCCGCCTGGAGGTGCTTCGTCTCGCCGAGAGCCACTCTCCCCACAGGAGCTGCGTGAGTGGTTTGCCCGGCGCTGGAGGCGTGCTGCTTGTGCTGGAGGTTCTTCGGCTGCAGAGGGTGCTGCTGCCGCGCGTCCCGGAGGTGCTCGTGCTGTGGGTGCTGGAGCTGCTGGGCCTGAGGGTTCTCTTGGAGCTGGTACTACTGTGGGTGTTGGCGCTGAGACTACTGCTGGCGGTTCGACTGGCAGTGCTCTTGGTGCTGCTGGGGGTGCTGGAGGTGCTGCTGGAGGTGCTGCTGGAGCGGGTACTCCTGCTGGAGGTACCGGTGCTGTCCCTGCTGTTTTTGGCGTCGCCACGCGGCCCCGACCGTACTTCGTTCCGCTCCTGCAGCAGGTTCTTGGTCTGACACCTTCTCCTGGTCCTCCTCCTCCTCCCTTAGAGGGTCCACAGCCAGTCCTGTCCCAGTTACAGCTACAGCCTGCCTCCCCTTTGCCTGCTCCTTCTCCCTACGCTGGTCCGACTGGAGGTCTTACTGAGCGTCGTGAGCCTGCGTCTCGTCCTGCGTCGCCTGTTCGCACTGCTCGCACTAGTGGTCGCGGTTCACGTCAGCGTCCTCCTCCTGTCCCTGGCACGCACCGGATCTGCGTCCGTCCACTGCTCCTGTGTGTGCCCCTTTGCCTTCTCCTCCTGCTTCCTCTCTTCCTGCTCTTGCCGACCCGGAGTCGGACTCTCTTCGTGCTGCGAGTCCCACTGTCACGCGTCTCCTTGCTACTGCTGTCACTGACCCTTCCTTCCAGTCTTCTGCTGCGTCTGCCCTTGTCACTGAGCTTGTCGACTTTGCTGCGCGCTGTCGTCTAGACTTCGCTGCTAGTCTTGTCGCTGAGTCTGAGTCTGCCTGTCCTCCATCCGTCGGGGGTGAGTGTGCCCTAGGCACGGACGTCCTTGAGGACAGGCAGGAGGAGTTCCAGTGTCTGGCCGCCGCTTCACCTCATCTCGCGTCTGTACTGCTCGCCCCTGAGGGAGACCCGGATGCACTAGACATCCCGACTCCGCGCTCTTACGCGGAGGCGATAGAGGGTCCCTACTCCTCTCAGTGGCAGGCAGCTATGGATGCAAAGATGGCTTCCTGGAAGTCCACAGGCACCTACGTTGACGCTGTTCCCCCGCCTGGGGCGAACATCGTCTGTGGCATGTGGATTTTCAGGGTGAAGCGGCCGCCGGGTTCTCCGCCTGTCTTCAAGGCGCGTTACGTGGCTCGTGGCTTCAGTCAGCGACAGGGAGTTGACTACTTTCAGACCTTCTCCCCCACCCTGAAGATGACTACTCTTCGGGTACTGCTGCACGTTGCTGCTCACCGCGACTACGAGCTGCACTCTCTCGACTTCAGCACAGCTTTCTTGCAGGGCAGCCTGCACGAGGAGATCTGGCTGCGCCGCCCACCTGGCTTCACTGGGTCTTTCCCTCCTGGTACCCAGTGGAGTCTCCGGCGTCCAGTCTACGGTCTCCGCCAGGCGCCACGTGAGTGGCACGACACACTGAGGACTACGCTTGCGGCACTTGGGTTTGCTCCTTCTACTGCCGACCCGTCGCTGTTTCTGCGCACCGACACCTCTCTGCCGCCGTTCTACATCCTCGTGTACGTCGACGACTTGGTCTTTGCCACAGCGGACACTGCTGGACTCGCTTACGTGAAGTCCGAGCTGCAGAAAAGACACACGTGCACTGACCTGGGTGAACTGCGCAGCTACCTTGGCTTGCAGATCACCCGGGACAGAGCACGCCGCACCATTACCCTGACTTAGTCACACATGGTGCAGCAGGTCCTTCAGCGCTTCGGCTTCACGTACTCCTCGCCTCAGGCCACTCCTCTGCCTACTCGCCACTCGCTCTCAGCTCTGCCTTCGGATGAGTCCGTAGAGTCGAGTGGCCCGTATGCAGAGCTTGTTGGCTGCCTCATGTACTTGATGACCTGCACACGACCTGACCTTGCATACCCTCTCAGCATTCTCACACGCTATGTTGCTCCTGGGAGACACCGACCAGAGCACATGGCTGCAGCGAAGAGGGTGTTGCGCTACTTGTGCAGTACGTCGGGCATGGGGCTAGTGCTTGGAGGGCGTAGTCCAGTGGTCCTCACTGGGCACGCGGACGCTTCTTGGGCTGACGACCAGGCTACGCAGCGGTCGTCACAGGGTTACACCTTCGGCCTTGGTTCCGGCTCTGTCTCGTGGCGGGCTACTCGCTCGTCTTCTGTTCTCGGCTCCAGTTGTGAGGCTGAGATCTACGCCGGGGCTATGGCTGCTCAGGAGCTTCGCTGGCTCACCTACCTGCTGACCGACCTTGGAGAGCCGCCTCGTTCTCCTCCAGTCCTGTACGTAGACAACAAGGCCATGCTGGCCTTGTGTCGAGAGCAGCGACTGGAGCACAGGACAAAGCACATTGCTCTCCGCTACTTTCTTGCTCGTGAGCTACAGCAGCGTGGACAGTTGCGACTTGCGTACGTGGCCTCTGAGGCCAACACTGCTGATGTCTTCACCAAGGCACTTGCGCCTTGTGATCATCAGCGTTGCTGCATGCAGCTGGGTCTTGTGCCTGTCTTGCCTCACTTGCTCACTTCTTGACCTTGCTTGTACCTTGACGTATATATACTCTTGCTCTTGCTTGCTTGACTCTTGTTTATCTCTATATATGATCTTGCATGCGAACTGGCCTTGTGGCCCTTGATCTTGCGCTCGGAATGTGTGGTGACTTTGTGATCCACCCTGAGCTTTGCTTTGCTTTGCTTGACTGGTCTTGTGACCCCTTGTTCTCCCCCACTTTGCCTATGGGGGTGTGTCAGAACATTATAGCTTACTTGTTTGTGTAGGCTATAGTGGGGTATCCCATAGGGGGTACAACCCAATTAGGGTTTCTTTTTGTACTCACTTCATTCATAGTTCATTCATTCTCGTTCACTTCTTCTCACGGCGCTCGCGGGTTGCTCCACACTTCCGTGCTGTGATGCCTGTGGTGCGGGCTGAATTGGAGTGCTAGGTGCTTGGGATTGTGCTCGTGTGAGGTCGTTTTGCAGGGACGAGCGTTCTGCCGTCAGCGTCGCGATTTCCTTGGCGCTCTCGCGGATTTGTCGCAGCAGATCGTTCAAGTGCTCCTGCGTGAGAGTTGTCACGTCGATATGTTCAGCCATTTCGAAGGGCGTCGGCTCGTCTTAGTCTAGGCGCAGTCGTGGCTGCACGCGTTTACGAGAGAACGCGAGGACAGCGGCTCCTAGGTGCTAAGGTACGTGAGTCCCTTCGAGTGAAAAATCAAAAGTTGATTTCATGGGGTGCGGAGATGCGCGGTCCGAAAAGGAAAGAGGCTCTGATACCAAGTGTTACGGGTGCAATGAATCGAAATAGCGAGAATTGCACTAAGGTGTCAAACGAGTACAAAATGTGAGCGAAGGCGTGAGCGAACATTTATACGCGAAGCATGCAAACGGTAACGCGGTGCGTGCGAGCTAGCTAGTGCTACGCTGGAAGCGAGGCTCGGGCTAGTCCTGAAGCGTAGGCCGACACGGCCAAGCCAGCAGTGCGAGGTTTGGTGAAACAGTGCGCGCGAAGTCGGCGAAGCCCTGTTAGCAGTAATGGGCGAAGAACGGCTGCTGCTGTACGCGATATTGCAGGGTGCGCTAAGGAATATCGAGAAAATTCATTACAAAAGTGAATTTCTGTACATACAGTAATATGCATTAAAAAATAATATAAATCCTTATAGATCATGTGCCTGTTGCCATTCATCCCGAGATTTTTCGTCTGATATAATTATTTTTTAAAACTCAAAATCCCACAGAACACTCTATTAATGACATATTCGGAGAAAAGGCGTATTACAAATTGAGTTTTTTTTAATGAATTCTGAATGTGTGGCTTTTCCTCCTCATTTTGATCTCGCCTCGTTGTGCAGCATACAGTAACGAGATTATACGGGCGTCCTCCTGCGACTATTCCCAAGGGCCAGATCATCCGCAACAACTATGGTACTAATAATCCCCTGTGCAACTGCTAAGGTAGTTCCCAAGGCCTCTCTTTCGCGTGTTCGTTTGTGTCACGTCGCTGGATATGGAGAGCGACGATGGCGCGAAGGACATTGCTCTTACCGAGTCTGACGTCGAAGCAGCGGTTGAGGCAGCTGGCGACGCCTTACGCTCTGAACAAGCCTCAGAATTAGGTTCGGAGTTATCTCCCGAATCTCCCCTCCTCGACGAACCACCACCTCTTGAACCCGTTGCGCCCGCAGCCTCAGGCGAGGTGGCTACAGTAGCGGCGGTAACAGCCGCCGCAGCACCAGCGGCGGCTGTGGCGTCGGAACCGTTGGTGCCAGCAGCGGTTGCAACCGAGGGAAATGGTGCTTCGAAACCGCGTAAACGGAAAGTCGAGCTGGTGCGTTCGAAACGACTTGGGTTGAGTCAATTAGATTTCTGTTCGATTTTCAGGCATTCCCACATCCGCTAGCATCCCGGGCTGGTGATCTTGCGTCAGAGGTCCATGCCTGATAATGCCACGCCCTGCTTACCGTGGCTATCATTTCCTTTGAGAGAGTTATCTGGAATTGCATCACGGCCTGTCTCATGCCATGTGTTTACACCATGCGTCATGCCATCTGCCACTCCCCCATGCCTGTCATGCCTCATCCATGATGCCATGGCGCACGCACTGTGGGTGCATCACCGTGCCATGCCCCGCCATGCCATGGCATGCCGCAATGGCTTGCTCCATCAGGTGGTGGAAGGAGACGAGCAGCCTCCACCGTTCATTCTCCTCAGTCAGAACTTCTACAGATTCCGCCGGTACGCACGCAGTTCACAGATGGTCGTGGCTCAAGGGCTAGTTCGGCTTAAGGGCTAACCAAGCAGCATGACAAGGGCTTAAGGGCTTATGACAAGGACATCGGTTGAACTGTCAGTTATTCCACGTTAAGCTGTTTCTGTGTTTCTCTTTCGCCTCCCTCCTTCCCCCTTTCTCCCTCCACCCACCACCCACCACCCACCACCCACCCCTTCCTCCCACCCACCTCTTCCTCACTCCCGCTTTTACCATCACCAATTCTATCCCTTCAACCGATCCCTCCATTTCCACCCCAGTCCGAAGCAGGTGAAGAACGATGACGTGGCGGTGTGTGAGTGCGAGCCACCTGCGTCCTCTTCAGGAGCAGCGGGGTGCCACGTGGACTCGTGTCTCAATGCGCTGCTCTGCACCGAGTGCACCCCAGGCTTCTGCCCCTGCGGGGACGCCTGCCGGAACCAGGTCTGTGGGCGGCGTGTGTGTGTGTGTGTGTGTGTGTGTGTGTATGTGTGTGTGTGAGTGTGTGTGTGTGTGCGTGTGCGTGTGTGTGTGTGTGTGTGTGTGTGTGTGAGTGAGTGCGCGCGTGTGCATGGGTTGTGTCATGCACCGAGTGCACCCCGGGCTTCTGCCCCTGAGGGGACGCCTGCCAGAACCAGAACCGGGTCCGTGGCCAGGTGCGTGCGACTAGTTAATGTTTGTGAGTCCTCATGAGTGAGCTAGCCAGGTCGGTGTAACCACCAAGGTGTTGAGATGTTTCAAGGGTTTTTGGGTGTAACCAGGGTCCAGCAGCACAGTGTGTGTGTGTGTGTGTGTGTGTGTGGGCGGGTGGGTGGGTGGGTGGGGAAGCGTGTGTATGTGCTGCCGTGCATCGGTTCTCCATTTTCCCACTGTTCTCTCCTTGTGGCACCGTCGTCCCTTCCCTTCAATTTCAACCTTCTCCTTCTCTCCCTACCTCCTTGCCTCCCTGCCTGCATGTCCCCCTGCCTGGCCACCCACCTGTTTGCATGCCTCCCTGACTGTCTGCCCGTGTGTGCTTGCTCGTGCATGCATGCATTCGGGTGCATGCATGCATGTGAGAGAGCAGCGTTTCCAGCGCTGTGAGCATGCACGCACGGTGGTCAAGAAAGTCAAGGGGCGCGGCTGGGGCCTTGTGGCTGCAGAACCCATCAAGGTGTGTATGCGCGCGCGCGCCGCGCGCCCCTTGCATCGCGTTGCTTTCCTGTGCTGGCACTCTCTTTAAAATGCCTCCAAGTCGCCTCAGAGACAGAGGTAGAGAAGCTGCGTGGATCTCGTGTGCTGCTGAGCTGAGACTCGTCCCACAAAAGGTGAACGTGAACGTGTGAACCCATCAGCTTCCGTGCCTTGTTCTAACTTCTTGTCTGTGTGCGTCTGCACGTGGCCCCCACATCCCTCACGCCCCCATCCCCTGTGCAGGCAGGGCAGTTTGTGATTGAATACTGTGGGGAGGTGGTACCCAACAAGGAGGCACAGAGGCGCCATGCTGCGTACCTTGCTGCAGGTGCTTCCCTCCCCACTTGCCCGCCTGCCTGCTTGCTTGCCCGCCCACCCGCCCACCTGCCTGCTTGCCTGCATCATATCCATCCTCCTCCCCTTGCACTGTCTGCCGCAAAGCAAGACGCCCGTTTTTAGACTTCCTGACACAATTCTCGTGATATGCCTCTGACAGCATTTGCTCAACTTTCCTTTTCTACCCTTTTTTTTTTTATGTAAACGGACTCTCCAGTCGCAGAATGCACTGACTCTCTTGAGAATTTTCAAAAGTGCCCCCCAATCCCCTAATCACACCACACCCTTCCTTCCAATCCATCTTTCTTTCGTTTCCTCTGTCTGTCTCTCCGCGTCCCCACCATCACCATGTGTGCGGTGCCGCCTGTCCTGTCCTGTGTCACTTTTGGGATTGGACTTGAGACGTCTCAAAACACTACTTCAAACATGTGTGCGGTGGGACTTTTGAGGCGCCTCAAAAGTCAAACATGTGTGCGGTGCGACTTTTGAGGCGCCTCAAAAGTCAAACATGTGTGCGGTTCCGCCTATCCTGTCCTGTGTCACTTTTGGGATTTCTCAAAAGTGACTCCAATATACCCGTCCTGTGTGTGTCCCTGTGTCCCTCCTTGACCTCCCCACCCACTAGGCGAGAAGAACGTGTATTTGCTCAAGTTAAACGCCAGGGAGGTCATCGACCCCACTAAGATGGGCGCCGCTGCCAGATTCGTCAATCACTCCTGGTACGTCCTTTCCTTTTGCTTTGCTTTTGAGGCTCCGCAAAGGTGAACCAACGTCCAAACTCCAACGTCCAAACTCCAACGTCCAAACTCCAACGTCCAAACTCCAACGTCCAAACTCCAACGTCCAGGCTCCAACGTCCAGGCTCCTAACACAAGCCCGCGCCCCAACCATACAATCGGTCCCGTTCACCCCCTTCTCTCCCTGCCCCTTTGCTCCGCCCTCCTCGCAGCGACCCCAACTGTGAGACGCGCAAGTGGACAGTGTTGGGGGAGATCCGAGTGGGCATATTTGCGCGCAAGGACATAGAGCCTGGCTGTGAGCTGACATACGACTATGACTACGAGTGGTACGGGGGCGACAAGGTCAAGTGCCGCTGTGGTGCCGCTGCCTGCGTCGGCTTTCTTGGAGCCAAGTCCCGCGCCTTTCAGGTATAGACTTCCTGCCCTGTCTGTGCGATTTTGTGTGTGTGTATGTGCCGGTGTGTGCGTATGTGAGTTTGTGTGTTGGGGGTGGGGGGGGGGGGGGGGGGGGGAGGGAGGGGGTGGGGGGGGGGGTGGCGGGGGTGTGTGCACGTGCGTGGGTGTGTGCACGTGCGTGTGCTTGCGTGCGTGTGTGCATGCGTGGCGGGCTGTGAGCTGACATACGATTATAGTCCGAGTGGTACGGGGGCGACAAGGTCAAGTGCCGCTGCGGTGCCGCTGCCTGCGTTGGCTTCCTTGGAGCCAAGTCCCGCGCCTTTCGGGTAAGCAGTTTGTGTTCTTTCTCTGCTTCTTTTTTCTCTCTCAGTTTTTCGTCTCCGCTGTGTCTTGGTTGTTCACTGCTACTTCGCTTGCTTTCGTGTTTCCGCATTTTACACTCATCAAACCTTTGCATCGAACCATGCATGCACCCCCACTTCTGTGTGTGTGTGTATGTGTGTGCCTGTTCTGCCTCCCTCCTATTATGATCGAACCAGGAAGATACGTACCTCTGGGTGGACGATGATGGCCGGTGAGTCCTTGCAATCCCCCGACTCCCCCGATTCTTCCTTAGTTTCCTTGACTTTTGGGGTGCCTCAAAAGTTGAACCAGGAAGATACGTGCCTCTGGGTGGACGATGACGGCCGGTGAGACCTCCTTATTCCTCCTCATTGTTCCTGATTTCCCTGGATTCCCCTTGATCCCACTTGAATCCTCTTAATTCCTCTTCAGTCCCTTAATTTTCCGACGTGCTCTGTATCCATCATCCAGCCACCCTTTTCTTTATCCTTTTGCATTCGCTCTTTATAGTGCTCCTCATCTCATTCCCTCTTCACTTCTGAGAATTCTTGGTTTCCATCTGTTCCTTAGTTTCCTCCTTATTAGATGCGTCATTTGTTTGCCTCATGTTCCATGTATCCTCCTTCCTCGCATCCTCCCTCCCAACCTCTCGCATCCTCCCTCATCGCCCTCTCATCTCAGCTTCTCACCTCCTCACATCCTCATTTCGGCACCTCTCTCTCTCTCTCTCTCTCTCTCTCTCTCTCTCTCTCTCTCTCTCTCTCTCTCTCTCTCTCTCTCTCTCTCTCTCTCTCTCTATAAATATATATATATATCTACTCTTCTTCACTAGATTTGAGGTGGAGGATGTGCCTTTGTACGATACAAGCTCAGAGGATAGTGAGTACAATGATGATGAGGAGGAGGAAGAGGGGGAAGAAGAAGAAGGGGAGGAGGAGGAAGGTGAGGAGGAAGTGCGGGTGGGTGGTAGGGAGACAAGAGAAGGGGCAGAAGAGGCTGGGAAAGAGGGGAAGGCGGAGGGGAAAGGGGAGAGGCAAGCGGAGTTGGTGGAAAGGAAGGGGGTAGGTCGGAGAGTGGGGAAGGGTGGGAGTAAGGATGTGAGTGGGGCTGGGGAAGGGGACGTGAAAGTGGGAGGGGAGCAGGAGGAGCAGGAAGCGGAAGAAGAGGAGAAGGAGGTATGGGTTTCGCGAGGAGAAGGAGAGGGGTATGGAGCAGAGGAGTGGCAGGAGTGGATGGAGAACGATTCTGAGGGGTGGGAGGAGGAGGGACAGGAGGAGGAGGGGGGTTCGGTTGCTGACTTGACACAAGATGGGGATGAGGAGGAGGTAGGAGAAGGTGCAGGGATGTCTGATGGAGGGGGGTATGAGGGGCAGGAGGGGGAAGGAGCAGAGAGGATGCAGGAGGGAGAGGAGGGAGGGGAGGGAGGGGAGGGAGGTGGCATTAAGGCGAGAGGGCTGAAGAGAAAAGCGAGAAAACCACGGGTGAAAAGACCTGGTATTCCCAAAGGTGTGTTTAGCCCTCTGATTGATGTGGATGGGGGTGGGGAAGGAGAGCAAGAAGGCGAATGGGAAGGAGCGGGAGAGGGGGGGAGGGATTTGGGGGAGGGGGATGAGGGATGGATGAGAGCAGGTGGGGATGGTTCTGGTCGTTGCGGGTGGGTGGTGGGACGGTATTTCCATGGCTCTCAGTGCGCGGGATGTAGGAAGGCGATGCGGAGGGTGATGGCACAGGAAGGAAAGGGTACTGATGGTGGTGATGCTGATGTTGGTGGTATAGGAGAGGGGCCGAAGCGGAGGAGGAGGAGGCGGAGGAGGGAGTTGGAAGAGGGAGGAGTGGGGGTAGGGGATGGAGAAGGAGAAGGAGGAGAGGAAGGAGAGGAGGGTGAGGAGGGAGAAGAGGAGAGAGAGGCGAGAGATGCAATGAGGCGGAGGAGGAAGAAGAAGAAAGCAAGGGAGGATCAAAGTGCCGAGTATTACCCTGATGTGGTCTCCTGCCTACCAGACGATCTAGCTGCTAGTGCTGCTGATGCTGATGGTGACGCTGCAACCGCCGCTGCCGTTGCCGCTGCAGCTGCCGCTGCGGCTCGTGCGTGGCGAAACGCCCAAGCTGCAAAGAAGGAGAAGCAGCTAAGGAGGAAGGCGGCGGCTCAAGAGGAAGCGGGATCGGGGTGGGGGAGGGGAAGGGGAAGGGGGAGAGGTAGAGGGAGAGGGAGAGAGGGAGAAGAGAGAGGGGGAGGAGAGGGGGGACGTTTTCCAGGAAGCGCGCTTGGGAGGGGAATGGGGCTGCGCGGAAGAGGCACGGCGGGTAGAAGAGGAGCCGTATCAGGAAATGGAGGTGTGGGACGAAGCAAACCATCACCATCTGGGCTCTATCACCCTGAATTCTCCCGACCTATTCCTCCTTCCTCCGTCCATCCACCTCCTCTTGCCGCAGCGGCTGCTGGTTCTGCCAGCGCTGCAGCCCACAAGCCAAAGCCGAAGCCTCGACCCGCCCCTGTATGCCCGCCTCTCTCCCCTCGCTCCCGCTCCTGCGCCCTCATCCCTCCCTCTGCTTGCAGCCCCTGCCTAGCCCCCTACCTCCCTCCCCCCAGCGTGCTCCTTCTCAGGGAAGCGACCAATCATGCCGCTCGGTCCCGGGCAGGCCAGATGATACCTGATTTGCTGACCATGGATTTTGGGGAGGGGGGCGGTGCAGGGGTGGGGAGGAGTGCGGGTGGGGAGGGTAGTGCGGATGGGTTCGGTGGGGTGCTTGGGTTTGGGGTGCGGCGGAGGAGGGTTGGGAGGGGAGTGTACTTACGGCCTATTGAGAAGTCGTTGAAGCAGGAGGATGTGGAGATGTTGTTTGGGAGGGGCAAGGAGGGGAGCGAGGGGGTGGAGGAAGAGAAGAAGAAGGATCAAGTGCTCGAACTACTGGTGAGCTTCTGACATGCCCTAAACCCTGAGGTGTACATGTATATCTACGTACGTATGTATATGTACATATACATGTTTGTATATATATATATATATTTATATAAATCCTGTCATTCTTGCAAGCGCTCCTCACACATGCCTCATCACATCTGTTTCCCTGCCTCTATGCCTTCCCTCGTTCCTCGCTGCCTCGTCTTGTCCCCCCACAGGAATCAGCCCAGGAGAAAGAATTAGACTTCGTTGCACTAAAACCCCAGGCTTCCCAGCTATCGTCATCAGCAGCCCCGTCTGTAACGTCTTCGCGTGCCATCAACGAGCGGCTGATAGCAGCGCACTGCAGCAGGCTGCTCAGTTCGTTCAAGCTCAGCGCCAGTGTCCTCTCATTTGCCGCGAGTGCTGCCGCTCTTCCTGCCCCTGCTCCTGCCAGAGCTGCTTCTCCTGCTGCTGCTGCTGCTGCTGCTGCTGCTGCCGATGCTGTTGGCGTGGATGGTGCTTATGGTGGTGGTGGTGCTAGTGCTGCTACTACCGCCGCTGCTGCTACTTCTGCTGCTCCTCCTGCTGCTGCTGTTGCTGCTGCCACTGTTTCTCGCGGTTGAAGGAGCTGGATGAATCAGACTGAAAGCAGGTTGCAGTGTTACAACTTACATGGGGTAAGGATGTACCGTCCGTAAGCCCTGGCAATGGCAACGATGCTGCCGATGGCAAAGCAGTGCTTGCATAGTGTGAGTAATGTAACGCAATTCTCTAAGAACTGCATGATCCTCAGAGTACCGGTAGAAGTGTTTCACACATCAAGTAGCATTAAGGTGACCACAAAACAATTGGCTGCACGGTCAAAGACCCTGAGCTTACTCTATAATTACTAACTTCATTACTGGTAGCATATATCCTTCACACAATGTACATCCAGGCACCAGACCCAACTGTTTCACAACAAAGCACAAGAGAACCACACCGCAAGCGGAAAAAAACCCAATAAAACAAAACCACACAGACAACAGAGTTATCATTTCATCTCACACAAGGAGTGGCACTGTGGCACTCTGTGAACATGCGACAGCTGGGACTGTCTTTTGAGACGTCCCAGAAGTCGTTTTGAGACATTCCAGAAGCAATGTGGCGGCTCATGTGTGGATGCTCGGTGAAGTTACGCCCTCCTTGTGAACATGTGACAGAAACGCATACCAATGCTGCTGCGGCGGCTGCGGCTGCCACTGCTCCTGCTCCTGCCCCTTTTGCTGCTCCTGCTGCTGCTGCTGCTGCTGCTGCTGTGACCACTGATACTGCATCTGCTGCTGCAGCAACTCCTGCTCCGCCACATGCGCCGGTGGCAAACGGCATTGCCTGTCCACGGAAATGACAGGCGGAAGCAAGTGCTCGCCCACACCGCCCAGATCAGGCGGGGAGTAAGGCATCCCTGCGTACACATGACTCGCCGCACCAGGCTGGACCTGGACGCCCATGGGGGGGTGAACGTGAATGCCGTTGTCCACTGGTAAACTTGCACTACGTGCCATGTGCAGCGACTCTGGCTGCTGCTGCTGCTGCTGGTGCTGGTGGTGCAGCAAGAGCTGCTGCTGCTGGTGCTGTTGCTGCTCCGTGTAGCGGTGGCTGCGGTGGTGAGAGAGAGGCATGCGGCCTGCAGCAGCCCTCTCTGCCTGCATGTTCGCCTGCATTGCACGGGTCATCAACAGAAGTCCAAACAGATTAGTGGAAACAGGAACATCAGCCGAATAAAACCACAAAACAAGCACCCATTACGGAATGAGTAACTCGGGCGGCCCTTGTCCAGACGCCATACGTCACGACCCACCTACCGAGTGTCTGCCTTCCAACACTGATCACCCGTATCCTGTTCTTGAGCTGACCCAAGAAATACTCTTTCAACATCTGCCACACCCTATCACTCCGTGTACCATCCCCCATCTCCATCCCATCTCCATCCCATCCCATCCCATCCCATCCCATCCCATCCCATCCCATCCCATCCCATCCCATCCCATCCCATCCCATCCCATCCCATCCCATCCCATCCCAGCTCGCTCCCACCCAGCCTCACCTGCTGCCGGAGGTATCGCTCTCTTCGCAGCAGCTCCCTGGCGTCTTGCAGCAGCAGCTGCAGCGACTGCACCTGGAACAGCAGCGCCTGCTTCTCCCACTGCCACGAGCCGGGCTGCAGAGGAGAAACGAGTGAGGGGGATGGGGGAAGGGGAGAGGATTTTTGAGACGTCTCAAGAACTGCAGAGACTGGACCTGGAACAGCAGCACCTGCTTCTCCCACTGCCACGAGTCAGGCTGCAAAGGAGAAACGAGTAAGGGAGACAAAGGGGAGGGAGACGGGGAGGAGGAGACACAGGGAGGGGAGGAGGGGAGGAGGGGAGTGGAAGGAAGGAGACAAAGGGAGGGGAGGAGGGGAGGAGAAAGGGGAGGACATGGACAGAGTAGAGTGAGAGATGAGTGGGGGGAACAGGATTACGAGGGAGAGGGAAATGGAGAAGTCAGTGTGAGGGGATGAACACAAGACAACCAACCAGTGCCTGCCACAGTGCCGATATGTAGACATCGTGACTCGACTCTCAGGAATTCACGTCAAAACGGCTCAAGAGTGCTGTGCTGTACAGTACACGCAGCACAGACGCACCAGCCCTGCAATCAGCCAACCAGCCAGCAGCACAGAGACACAGGCGATCAACACAACACAACACAACGATGCTTACAGCGGGCTGTGCATCTCCTCCTGCTTGCTTGCTGCACGGGTCCTTCCCATCCCCCACTCCTTCAGCACAGCTACTGACGCCATTCCCTTTCCCACATGGTGGCTCTGCACGCATGGAGAGGTGGTGCATAGGGGAGAGTCCTTGGGAGAGTCCCTGGGAGAGTCCCTGGGAGAGTCCCTGGGAGAGTCCCTGCATCTGCATCTGCGTCTGCGTCTGCATCTGCATAGGTGGGGAGTGGGAGTGAGCTGCAGCTGTCTCTCCCGAGATACTCAGCTGCATCTGCAATCGCTCCATCGCCTGCTGCATAGCGAATCCCTCCTCCGTCCTCTCCCTCACCACCGCTCTCAACCTCCCCACCTCCTCTTCCAACTCCTCCACCCTCCCACCCCTCCCCTGCAACCTATCCTCCCACTGCCGCAACCTCCCCTCCTCCTCGCTCACTCGCTCCTCCCTCTGCCGCACACTCCCTTCTCGCTCCACCACCTTACACTCCCACACTCTCGCCTCCTCCTCCCTCTCCTCCACCATTCTCTCCCACTCACACACCCTCTCCTCTCTCGCCCGCACAGCACTCTCCTTCTCCTCTAACTGAAACCTCAACTCCTCCTCCTCCCTCCTCCTCTCCTCCTCTCTCTTCTCTTCCTTATCCTCCAGCATACAAATCGCCATTCCAAGGTCTCTAATCTTCTCATCTTTCTCCTTTAACTCCTCTTCCACCTCCCTCATAGCCTGCTTGTGCCTTGCAGCCAACCGCAGCATATCCCACCGAACCCCTGCCACTGACTTCCTTACTTCACCTGTCTCCCCATCCCTCCCCTGTTCCTGCTCTTCCTGTTGCTCCTCGCCCTCACCCTGCCCGTGCTCTTTCTTCTGCGGTTTCTCTCCCACCCTCCCCCTAGACTGCTCCTTGACTTCGTTTGACCCCGTTGACTCTGTCAACTCCCCTGACTGATCCACAGACCGGACTCCAGACTCCGCTGACGTGGCATGCGCGCTGCTCAATGCTGAGTCAGCGTCGGAGGAATCACAGTCATCTGTGACGGTGGACAGGTCGGAATTTTCTGACAGGCCCCCCTGCTGATTCTGGAAGGAAAAGGGGAGTAGGGAGGGGAGTAGGAGCGGGGAGGGTGTTGTGGGTCAGATCAGGAGCATGGGTGTGGAAGGTTGTGAAAAGGTGTGAAACCTTGTGAGGAGGGTAGGGTGCCAAGCAGTGCAATAAAGGCATGAAGAAGGTGCGTCAAAGCGTGTGAAACAGTGTCAAAGGCCTATAGGGGCGGATATAGGCAGATACTGTTGTGATATCATACCAAGGGGCGGATATAGGCAGATACGAGCACCTAACACCACCTTCCGGGCCAGCCAAACCATGAGCCCACCCAGATACTAAGCAATCAACCTTTCCCACCCGCCCTAAGATCAATCCACTGCATACACAAGAGACCCACCAAAGATCAACCTGTACCACCCACACACCCACCCACAAGAGACCCACCAAAGATCAACCTGTACCACCCACACACCCACCCACAAGAGACCCACCAAAGCCACGTACACAACAGAACGCTGCATGCAGCTGTCCAAACTTCCCTTTTAGCTCCACCTTCTCCGCCCTCAGCGCCCGCATCTGCCGCTGCATGGCCGCCCCCTCTTTACCTCCCATCTCGTTTTTCGACTCGATTCAAAGAGAGAGACATACCCACCCACCCAGTCACCCACGTACCTCACACCACACCCCGTGCAGCTGTCCAAACTTCCCTTCCAGCTCCACCTTCTCCGCCCTCAGCGCCCTCATCTGTCTCTGCATGGCCGCCCTCTCCCCCTCCCACCGCGCCCGTTCCTCCCTCCACCTGCCCTTCTCCTCCCGCCACTCCGCCTCTCTGCCCTCCCACGCCGCCTTCTCCCTCCGATGGCTCGACCTTTCCATTTCCAGCTCGTCCAATCGCTGCCGATTGCTGCGGCTCTCAGCCATAAGCCGTGCTATCTCTGCAGTCAGCCTCTTGCTCTCTCGCACTGCCTGCTCTGCACGCTCCTCTGCCTTCTCCAACCGCTGCTTCACCTTCTCCCGATCCTCCGCTGCTTCTGCTACCACCGCTGCAGCCGCTGTCACCTCTGCTGCTGCTGCTGCCCCTCTCGGAGGAGACCCAGGGAACAATGAGTTCCCCGACGCCTCCACCTGAGAATTCACCTGAGATTCTACATGGGAAACCGCCATGGCCTTGATAGCGTCCTCCCTGACCTTCACGTCTTCCGCCAGCTGTGCGGCTCGCTCCCGGGCGGCATAGAGCATCTCGTTGCGCTCGGCTAGCTTCTTGGCAAGAGATTCTACTGCCTCGCGGTGGGACAGGAGGAGCTTCTCTCGCTCTGCCACTGCCCGTTCTGCTGCTGCCAGCTTCGCTTCTAGCGCTGCTATAGCCTCGTCGTCGCTGGTCGTCGTAGTACCAGTGCTGCTGGCGCTGCTGCTGGTGGTGGTGGTGATGTTGCTGTTGCTGTTGCCGTTGTTGTTGGTACCACTTGCCCCAACTCCTGTTGCTGCTCCTCGCGATTGTGAGTCGGCAACAGCAGCAGCTGTAGTTGCTTCCCCTAATGCAGGTGCTGATGTCGATGCTTCGACTTCCGCAGCTGCAGTTGCTGCTGCTGCTGGCGCTGCTGCTGGTGCTGCTGCTGGTATGGTCGCTGATACCTGCTCTTGCCCCTTTTCCTGCTGCTGCTGCTGCTGCTGCTGCTGCACGGGCATAACCTTAGCCTGCTGGTACAAGGACATTATACTCATGCGCTTTCTGCCCCCCCCTCCTCCTCCTCGTCTCCCCATACTCATCGCGCCTATCGAGCCCTGCTCCATACTCTGTGTACCTTGTGTGGGTGCGCAGGGAGCAGCAGCAGCACCAGCAGGGACGGTCGTAGCAGCGGAATAAGCAGCAGCAGCAGCAGCAGCAGCGTCGCTGGTAGAGCGCCGTATCCATGCACCCTCGTCGTGACCCGTTGCTTCCAATGCTGCCCTGACAGCATTCGATTCCACTGGGCTTCCGGCACTGGCGCTGCGAGCGAGAGTGAGAGGACCCGGAGGGGGAAGCGGCGGAAGAGGCGCAAGAGGAGGAGCAGGAGGAGGAGGAGGAGGAGGCGCTTCGGGGAAAGTCACGGGAAGTTGAAGCCTCCCTAGGGTTCCGGCTGCTGTAGGTGCTGCATCGTCCATCTGCATTTATGGGTGGATGAATGGATAGCAGGGGGGTGTAGAGGACGGAAGGGAGGCAGGGAGAAAACCCGCTTGAATGACGAGAGGAAAGGGAGAGGTACGGGAGGAGAGATGGTAGCGAGAGGGGAAGGGAGAGAGAGGGGAGGAAAGAGAGAAGCAAAGGAACGCGCAGGATGGATGGACGGAAGCTGGAAAGACAGTTTTGAGACGTGACTTTTGAGTCGACTCAATAATCAAATGGCGATTCGAAGGAAGGAGCGTGAGTGCTGACCTCTTCGATTGTGGCGAAGGCATCAAAAGTGAAAGAGTCGGAGGGGAACCAGAAGGGCTTGCGGGGGAAGGCCGGGCATGTCACTGCCATGGGCAAGGGCGCATTGGGCGTGAGAAGGAGGAGGGGGTTTGGAGGGGGAGGGGAGGATGGGGGAAAGGAGAGAATGAGTGGGAGGAGAGGGAGTGAGTATAACAGGAGAGGAAACAGAAAAAGGGGGCGTATAAAATATATCCGAAAACTCATGAAGCGCGCATTGAACCTTGCTGGAGCACACACATGCACGTAGCCTCATATGCACCCGCACCCGCACCCGCTCCCGCACCCGCACCCCGCACCCCGCACCGCACCCCGCACCGCACTCCCACTCGCACGCGCACACGCATGCATGCACAGGCTGCGCCCCTGTGGCTGACCTCCTTTCTCCACGTATGCATTGGGCGGAAGCAGGATCGTGCACCCCCTCTCAACCGCATACTCCTTTGATCTCCCTGGAGTGATCTGAAGCAATAACGGGGTGGGGGAAAGGAGAGACAGGGGGGAAATGGGGGAGTGTATTGATGATAATGTTTTGGGGGCAGAGACGGAGAGCGCGCTCGCCCTGACCTGACTCCCCCTGACGTGATCTGAAACGAGAACTATTCTCAGCCGATAGTAATACAGACAGACGTGCACGAGGGCTATTGGATCGTCGGCGCGTACGTACTAGGTAATTAATCTCTGACGCGCAGCTACTAGCTTACCCGGATGGCTCTGGACTTGGTGGCGGTGTTGACAATCTGAAGGGAGGAATGCAGATCCGCGCCCGCCGTGACTGCACGCGGAAGCGGGATGGATGGGGGGAAGTGCGGAAGGACGGGGGAGAGGGGAGAGGGGACGACGGAAAAGGTGGGGAGGAGAGGAGGGGGGATGGTGGGAAGAGGGGAGGGTGAAGGAAGGAAGGTGTTGTCGTTACATAGGGGGCAACTTGAAGGCCGGAAGGGGATATGGGGATGGTATACATGAGGGGGAGCTGTGAGAGGTGGAAGATGCAGGGGAGGAGGAAAGGAAGATGAGTCGGTGATAAGAGAGGAGGAAAGCGATGCGGCGGAGATAATTCAATAAGTTATTCGCGGAAACGTTCAGGACGGGCGATAATGTTGATGGACAACAAACGACGGGGCAACGAAGGGCGCAGCGTGACACAACATTCGCTGCTTGACTACCGATACCAGCAGTATATTTTTTTTGCTTACATGGGAATTCCACGCTTGTTTGGTTTAGCTTGACACCATCCATGGCTGACGGCGTAACTCCCCGGTGCGCTGCCGGCGTTCTCGTACCGCCACTCGAACCCGTCTGCGCCTATAAAATTTAAGTTGGAGAGTTTCAACTCGCGTGTGAAGCGCGTGCGATGGCGCGAGCTCGTGGCGAAGACTAGCACTCACGAACCTTGCTTCTTTCGTTGTACTAATCCGCGAAGCTGTGGAAACTGAATCGTGGCCCTTGTGATGAGCTTACTGGTATTTTCGCACGCTTATATATACAGTTCATATTTCACTCGCCGCAGCCTCGCATGTCGATGGTAGCGTGCGATTTATGGAGTCGTGCTACAAGTTGTACCAGAAGTAGTAAAGCAAGAAAGATAGTAGCTACTCGATGGAAGCATGGATGGGTATGGTATGTCTCGGTCCGACTTTTATGATTGCTGGAAGGAATGCTTGGTGTGTGTTGTTTCATCACCTCAAACCACCACCAAGGCTAGCGACCAAACCAGGTTCATGTTCCCAAACCGCGCTGTTCCATCGCAACAATGGTGAGGTGTATCTGGATCGTCCAGCGCGTTTGGCAAAGTATCTTTCGTACCCCACTTTAAATCCTCCGTACCGAGCTGTTTTCATCATTTGGGTCGTTGGCAGGGTCTCGTCTGCTCCGCTCATTCTTGTTGCTACTTCCGCGATGTTGGAAGGACGCCGCGATTCAATGTAGGAAACGCGGAAGGCGGAGCCAGCTGGGGCGGGACCTAAGACCTAAACTGTAACTTCCAAATGTCAGATTCGCATGAACTTTTACGAAATCATAAACATCAAAGGAAGGAATCAAACTGGAACCAAACTGTCACCAATTGAGCGCGCCTTGAAAATGCTTGGGACCTCTATCCAGTTGACCTGGAAGTCCACTCTTGACTTGTAAAACTGACCGTGGGAAACTCGGACCAAGCGGGAAACGCGCTTCCAGGCCATGATTGGGGCATGGATTTTGCAACTCTACGGCCAGGTGGTGTGGTTGCGGAGACCGACACGGCTGTGCGGTGTTCCTTCCGCCTCTCCAATGTCGAACCAGCATTCGAACCTAACCCTCATTTGCCTTACAAGCATGGCTTCAAGAGGTTCGGAATCTGGTTCAGGAAGTTCAATCACACGTGTTCAGCAAGCAAGGCAGAGCTAATTACGATGGAGGGGAGGGCGGAACCAAACCAAGTTGAACTGGCGTTCCCTTCCTGGTTGGAACTTGGTTTGGTTGGAAGGGAAGTCACCACTATGCGAGGTTTCCCTCGCTCGTTTGGAACTTGGAAGTCACCACCAAGTGCTGTACACGTCCAGCCTACCAGACTTCGGTTCGGACAGCGTCCTGACGTGGGGTGCGCCTCTTGCCAATCACGCCCTACCCATGCGCTTCGCTGGCTTGAGTTCCAGGTCTTGTTCCAGCGTGGATAAGCCAGTCAGTGCACTTCACGTTTACATATCGGTGCTGTTCGCCAGCACATCGATTCTTGAACAGAAAACGATGGCATCGGCATCGCGACCGCATATGGAAACGGGGGCGGAACCCTCCTCCGAGGTTTGGGCGTAATGCCGCCCGAGAAACTAACTTAGCGCACACGAAAGAGGAAATTACGCAACCGCGTCGGGAAGGTCCATCCCCACCTTCCCCCCTATGGCGCGAAAGTTTAGCCTCATTGACCCTTGTGCTGCCCGCTGGCCAAAATTTGCTCAGCGTGGGGAAAAAGAGCAAATAAAACACCCCCCGCTCAAACACAACCCCCGCCACCTCGTGCTCACGACCAAGTTATGTGCGGGGAGCATTTAGAAGGTGTGTTTGGGATGGAAAAATGGGGGGTATACGAACCCTCCTTTGTCAAAATGCAGGCTTGTTCAAGGGTTCCCCTCTGAACAGCAATGAGTCGGTTGTGCCACCGCTGTGCTTTGAAAAACGCGGCATGACGATGGCATGGCTAGGGGATGGTATTTTGCCTTGGGACGAAGTTTCGTCCCCGCTTCCATATGCCGTCGAAACGTTAGAATTGGTGGACAAAAGTGGACGTTCGCCAGACGCCCAGTTTGTTTGTTGGTTTGGACGGTAGGTGAGGCTCGGCATTTTTTTCACGGGCTGACCCGGCTGACGGAGGTAAACGAACTCTAACTGACGGGATCAGGAAGGCGAGAGGAACATTCATGATCCCGTCGTTATCCCGTTGTTTTTTGCTATAAGTGTGCTGGCGAACAGCCCCATCAGGAACATAGCAGGCTTTTTGTAAGGGAACCTTTTCTTTACTTCGCACCCCTACTAACCCCGTACATGAGTGTACATGACTGTTTCCGCTAACAGCACCCTACAGCAAAACGTTACAATAAGCTTCACTCGCCTCTGTTGCGAATAGTGAAAAATGAATGAACCATTGTGCACTCCTTACCGAAGTAGTTACCAACGTCAGCGACATCGCCATTGGAGCAGTACTGCTAAAGGACTTCGGCAACGGCCTACAGCCTATCGCATACGAGTGGCGAAAGTTGCACCCGCTCGCCAAAAAATTCCCAATACACGACCACAAAATGCTCGCGATCGTGCACGCATCCAGAGTGTGGCGCTGTTACTTGACTGGTGCAGATGTGACACTACGGACTGTCAGAACATTATAGCTTATGCATCTGTGTAGGCTGTAGTGGGGTAGCCCATAAGGGGTACAACCCAATTAGGGTTAGTACTTGTACCAAACTGCTTCATAGTTCAATCATTCTCTCGTTCTAAACTTCACATGGTATAGAGCTGGTTCCCTCGTGGGAACTGTTCCTAGGGCCCACCGATCTTTTTTTTCCTGCCCGGAGCGCGCTTGGCCCCTGCCCGGGTCGTGTCAGAACATTATAGCTTATGCTTTTGTGTAGGCTGTAGTGGGGTAGCCTATATGGGGTACAACCCAATTAGGGTTAGTACTTGTACCCAACTCTTTCATAGTGCATTCATTCTCGTTCATTTTCACATGGTTTCAGAGCACATATGCTCCTGGCCTGTGGGCCCTACTACTGCTTCCGCTGCTACTCGATATGTCGCACGCCCCGTGACGTGCGACCTATTTTTGGCGCGCGGCGATTTTCTCTCTGGCGCGCGCCCCGAGGCGCGCGGCCCCGTTCCTTCTAGGCGTGCGACCCCTCGCTGCCCCGTCGCGGCCCCATCTCGTCGCGTCGCCCTAGCGGCCGCGTCGCGCCGCCCTTCCCGACTCGGCCCCGCCTCTGCTGGACCCGTCGCCTGCCCCTGCGGCCCCGGCTCTGCCCTTCCTGGCCCCGGCGCCACCTCGGCTGGCCCCGTCGCCTACCCCAGCGACCCCGACGCCGCCCTTCCCGACCCGGCCCCGCCTCTGCAGGCCCCGTCGCCTGCCCCTGCGGCCCCGGCTCTGCCCTTCCTGGCCCCGGCGCCACCTCTGCTGGCCCCGACGCCGCCCTTACCGGCCCCGGCGCCGCCTCTACTGGCCCCGTCGCCTACCTCTGCGGCCCCTGCGCCGCCCTTCCCGGCCCCGGCGCCGCCTCTGCTGGCCCCGTCACCTACCCTGTGGCCCCGGCGCCACCTCTGCTGGCCCCGTCGCCGAGCCGCCGAGCCGCCGGCGCCGCCAACCTGCTACCGAGCCGCCCGAGCCACCCGAGCCGCCCGAGCCGCAGCGCCACCTGAACCGCCCGAGCCACCGGGTCGCCGAGCCGCCGAGCTGCAGTTGCTGCCGAGCCGTCGTACCGCCGAGCCGCCCGAGCCGCCGAGTCGCCGAGCCGCAGTTGTCGCCGAGCCGCCCGAGCCACCCGCACCGCCGAGACGCCGAGTCGCCAAGTCGCCGAGTCGCTGAGTCGCCGAGTCGCTGAGCCTGCTCTTCCCACCACTGGTGAGCCCCTGCCCTGCTAGCGCGCTGCCCACCGCCTGCTTGCCTGCCTGCCTGCCTTTCGGCTTGCCTGGCTCCCTGCCTTACTGCTGCTACTCTGGCTCCTGCTTCTACTGGCGGAGCCAGATGCAGCCCCAGCGACGTCCGCGTGAGTCCCTCACGCCCCAGCACCTGCGTGAGTGGTACACTGGTTGGGGTTGTAGGGGTGGCCGCCCTGCTACTGCTACCACTACTGCTGCTACTACTACTGGTGGCGGCCAGATGCAGCTCCAGCGACGCCCACGCGCGTCTCTCAAGCCCCAGCAGCTTCGTGAGTGGTACGCTCAGAGTAGAGGGTCTCTCAGTTCTGTTCGCTGCTCTTACGTGATTCGCACTGGTGCTCGCACTGGTCAGCCTTGTGGGACACCTAGTCACACACAGTCCCGCTGCTTCGCCCGTCTGAGCGATGCCTGGTGTACCGAGTTTGGCGACGAGGCTGAGCTCCCCGACTGGGTGGAGTTGCTTAGGCAGAGGGTAGATATATTTGCTCTTGACTATGATGCTATTCTCACTGCAATGTATGCATTGCCTACTAGTGCTGACCGTGCCGGTCACCTGTGCGTACCGCCTGACCCGGGTATAGAGCCTGCTGCTCTAGCTGCTGGTGAGGCTGCTGCTCTGGGTGCTAGTGAGTTTCCTGCTCCAGGTACATGTGCGGCTGCTGCTCTAGGTGCTAGTGAGTCTGCTTCCTCAGGTGCGGGTGAGTCTGCTCTCTCAGGTACCGCGTCGGCTCCGGCCTCTCACACCTTCACTCTTGACTCGGGGGCTTCCCGCTCCTTCTTTCGAGACCGCACCACACCCACGCCGCTTGGTCGGCCAGTTGCAGTCTCTCTGGCAGACCCCTCTGGGGGTCTTGTCCTTGCTCACTTCTCCACTGTCCTCCAGTGTCCGGCGGCCCCCTCTGGCACCCTGTCTGGTCTTTACCTCCCCTCGTTCTCTACGAACTTGGTGAGTGGTGCTGACCTACAGGATGCGGGGGTTCACCAGTTCACTCCTGCGAGTCAGCGGGTACCCACTGCACGGACGCTCGGACAGGCCGACACCTGGCCACGTTTACACGTCGCCCGGGGTCGAGCCTGTACACGCTGACCACTGCGTCTCCTCCAGTCACTGCGTCTGG